AGCAAACATTATAATAATAATACTAATAATACTAATAAAAATATAATAATAATAATAGGCAATTAGGATCAGTGTGATGATACTTTACAGGAAGTCATACTGAAAATCCAGCTGCTGTAGAACTACATGTGCCAGTATGACGTCTATGACAGCTGAGTGGTAGCTCTGTACAGAATATACACACATTACAATCTGATTGTACAATCTCCTTCAGATCTAGTAACAACTATGTAACGAAAGGGCCTGCCTGATTAAATACAAATCCATGGGATAGATTAGGTAGGTCCTCATATTTCATGGTTTTGGTAAATGTAAAATTGATAGTACAGTGAGATTGTAATGTGTGTGGTGACCCTAAAGCTCACTAAAGTTGATACAATCTGATTGTACAACCTCCTTCAGATCTACCAACACCTATGTAGTGGAAATGCCTGTCTGATTGGATGCAAATTGATTGGATAGATTAGGTATGTCCTCATATTACATAGTTTTGGCAAATCTAAAGTTGATTGTACAAAGTATACTCAAATTGTAACGTGTATGATGACCCTAAGTTCTCATCTAGAACTGCAAATCATCATATAGAGTTCTTCACATAACACTCACCATTTACGTTACAACCAAATCTTTGTACAGCCAACTTTACCAAAACTAGGTCATATGAGGACCTACCTAATCCATCCAATCTATCCTTGCACTACATAGTTGTAAAGGTGATTGTACAATCAGATTGTAACATGTATCGTGATCATGAGTTGTCATCTAGAGCTGCTCTTCACTTAAACGTCACCATCCACGTTGCAATCTGATTGTACAAACTTTGTACAATCAACTTAACCAAAACTATGCAATATGCGGAACCTCCTAATTTATCCAATCAATCCTTGCACTACGTCATTCTAATGACGATTGCTTGCTCACATTGTAACGTGTATGGTGATCATACACTAGAAATCCACATAACAGTCTGATTGTACAATGAGTTCAAGCAATCCTTGCACTACATCATTCTAATGGTGATTGGACGCTCACATTCTAACGTGTATGGTAATCATACACCAGGAATCCACATAACAGTCTGATTGTACAATGAGTTCAAGCAATCCTTGCAATACGTCATTCTAATGGAGATTGCACGCTCACATTGTAACATGTATGGTAACCATACACTAGGAATCCACATAACAGTCTGATTGTACAATGAGTTCAAGCAATCCTTGCACTACGTCATTCTAATGGTGATTGCACATTCACATTGTAACGTATATGGTGATCATACACTAGGAATCCACATAACAGTCTGATTGTGCAATAAGTTCAAGCAATCCTTGCATTTTATCATTCTTAAGGTGATTGTATAATGCGATTGTAAGGTGTGTGGCCAGCATACAAGTCATCCAGTGATTTTCCTATGTAATGCACCTAACAGTAGCAAGCACTCATATAGCTATCAGTGAAGAGACACGTAGCTGTCACTAGCTGGCAGAGTATTGTATTATAGGGATGGAAGCAGTAAGCAGGGGGTTAATGACAGTGGTAGCCCCCTCTCTCCCCCCAGGCAGTGCGGCTCACCTTCACTACGTCGTCATTCAAGTGCTTGGGGTCCCGGTTGACCAGGTCGATCTCTTTGGTGAGGACATCGTGGGCTATCTTGTCACTGTCGTCTGCCATGACTTTGTTGTTCGGTTTATAGATGTTGCCTTGCTGTCGGATGATGGGTGTCGTGTAGAGCACACCCTAGGGTGGAATAGGATGGGAGAAGAGGAGAAGACTTTTAGCGATGTGTGACCATAGATGGGCAGAGGCAGACAGAAGAAAGTTCTCTAAAGAGTGTACAACTAAGGCTTGGTTTATAAGAGGAGCCATGTACTATACCACACCCCTCTGTACCAGAGCACGGGCTCTCTCCAGCAGGGGTCATCACATCGGGAATATTCCTCATTCCTCGGGGATTCCGATCCCCCCCTCCCTCCCCTTTATACAGGCAATCCCTGGCACACCCCACCCGGACAGCGCAAACTTTCCATGTCACGACTATCAGCGGCAGCACCACACCCGAACTCCTGTCCTCATTGTCTTCCAGCAACAGCTCTCATCTCTCCCTGAAATCTGCTTATTGGACCAAAATCTGCTTTAGACATCCACTTCATTCTACAGTCCTGTCATAGGACACACGACAGCCCTATGCAAAGTTCAGCAAGTTGATTGTTAAAGGGTAATTCCACCTTTCAATGTGCACTTCTTCATAAAAGAAAGAATGTGCATGTATTTTTTTTTGCATTGAGTTAGTCAAGCATTACAGCAATGATCAGCAGGTTACAGGTGCAAAGCTCTGGCACCTGTAACTAGACTAGAAGTGCGGTTACGTCACCACACTTGTATTCCATTAAGAACCACAAGTCCCTCTGATGCGGTGGCTGATGGCACTTGTAGTTTCTCTGGTCACAGTCAAAGGATCTGCGAATGGATGACGCAGCTGTGTGAGCAGGGCCACAAACAGCCGTGTCAAATTCAAAATGATATAGCGGCCTGCAGGGAAGAGAAGCCTGCCATTCAGGTAAGTGGGGAGGGGGGTCACTTAGGATGCAATGTGACCATGTTTTATGTTACATCCTGAATATGGGTTTAATATGAAATGTGCTCTGAAAAGTGAACGTAGCCTTTAAAGCTGAACTCCGGAAACACATACTTTCATTTAAAGCCTATCCAGACAAATCATAAAAGTACCCTTGCAGTGTGGCTACCCCAACACTGCAAAGGTTAAATCAGGAGTGGACAACACCGGCCCTCCAGCTGTGCTTTAACGACAAATCCCAACATGCCTCTGCTTCTGGGATTCATGGCTGTAACAGTCAGTCTTGCAATGATCATGGGATTTGTAGTTCCACAACAGCTGGAGGGCCTTAGTTGCCCACCCCTGGGTTAAGTGCTCATTTATGTGCAGGGGACCGGAGTAAAACAGATTTAATGACCTGATCCCCTCTCCCTGGAGCATAGCGCTGACCTCTCCCCCCTCTGCTCCGGCTGACAGAACATCCCTTGGTGTCCTCATGTCTGATTCAGGTCTATGGAACCCCCCGCTCCAGCGCTGCACGGAAACAGCGGACAGTGCCGCCCTCCACTCCAACGCTACACAAATACATCCATGTGTATCACCTGCAGCTTTGCGGAGATTAAAGGCCTCCTAAACACCACATGCAAAAGATGCTGGACAAAAGCCCCCCCACCGACAGCGCCACACAAACGGCACCAATATCCCCAACCACCGCATTGAGGAACCTGGCCACGGGACAGCAGAGAGTGTAAATCCAGCCCTGTGTATGACTAGACAGCGTCTTAGTGGGCAATAGGTATACACTCAGTGGTCAGGGGTTTTCCAATAGGTGGCGCTTATCCCAGAATCACTGCACTAGTTTAAAATGAAAAGAGGAGGGCGTCTGTCAAGTAATAGCAGACAACTTGATGTGTCTGCCCTTTAGGCTCCATTCACACCTATGCGATGTGGGATTGCATGCGATGCATGTTTCAATGTTGGGTGGATTGCAGGGCCATTTTTCTTAATGGCACCCCAACGCATCTAGCTATTGCATGTGCATTGTGTCGAAGCACATTACATGGTAACATATTACCATGCAATGTGGTGCAATGCTATTTATAAAAAAGGTGCTTGCACTTCTCCTTCAGTGCAATTTAGCACCCTGCAGCAATGTCGCATTAGAGAGGTGTGAATGGAGGCTTAGACAGGACTTTGCTCTTACCATTTAAACAAGCTGACAAGTTCACTTTAAAGTGTCTCTAAACCCAAGAACAAAAATGTTACTATATCACAGCTGAACAGTCCTTAAATGTGGTGGCTGTATACATTTTTTTTAGGCTAAGTACATTTTCTGCAAGTAGAGACAATTGCTCTCTACTGCTCTCTGCCAGAAATGCAGTGACCTTGTCACCTTCTATGTGCTGAAAATGAAATGTAAAACAATGTTATTTTATCTTCTCTAAACTATGATTCCACCCCTGCCATCATGTAATGGAGATGAAGATAGGAGGACATGTTTGTAGGCCATATAAGGGTGACAACGTTGCTCTTCTATAGATAGTGCACAATGGGTAAGTGTTGTCACCCTTGGGCAGGAAGTGTGTTAATGGCAGGAAGGTAAAAAATGTCTAAAAAAGAAAACTAATGCAGCCACCACATCTAAGGACTGCCAAGCTGCAATATATACAATTTTTGTTCTTGGGTTAAGATACACTTTAAAGCAAATAATTCATTTAAAAAAAAAAGTATATGTCCTGCCTTAGAACCATAACCAAAAGCTCTGGAGACACGGTTTAACACCAAGGCCAGAGAAGTATATGTCTTAGTATCCAGCGGAACCCAGCACCAGAGAGGCACACAGCGGAGGGTTTTCTGGCTAACAGATAGAACAGTAGACACAGAGGTGTAACTAGGGCCCCCGGTGCAAGAAACCATGAAGGGCCCCCCAACCCCCCACCACCATGGGAAGGCACTATAAACAGGCACCGTGTGGATAACAGGAAGCATGCTGAGGTCCCTGGCAAGAGGGACCTTAGCCAGCCGCAACAGTGTAAAAATGTAGTGTCGGTATCTGCTCTTAGAATCGGGGCAATTTCATGAGTACGAGTACTCATGAAAATGCCCAGTATTGGCAATAGTGCATCCCTACTTAATAATATAATGTATTGCTGGGACTTGTAGTTCTGCATAGTTGGTGCCATTCTGCATTGCTGTATAATCATCATACAGCAATGCAGAATACCACCAGCTATGCAGAACTACAAGTCCCAGCAATACATTATAATGTATATCAGCAATGCTGAATACCACCAGCTCCCGCACCCCCCTTCCCAGCCCAGTCCTCACCTGACTCCTGCAGCACCTTCTTCATCTCGGCGGCCAGGGGGTGGGACTAAGAGGAGGGGGTCCTCTCCCACACAGCAGAATGTGCTGCCTGCCGATGCCTGCAGCACATTCTGCTGAACAGGTGACTGATTACTGGCAAGAATCTGGAGCAATCCGCTTCTATCTTTCATTTTCAAAGCTTAACTGAACAAACCGAGGAGAGAATTTGATTAGTCGCCAGGGGCAACTGCTGCACTTTTTGTCTGCTCCAGTTTTGATAAATTCCCCCCATGTGGTACATGCACTTAGGCTGGATATTTACACTTTAAAGTTTAATATAATGGCGCACAATTCACTTCAAAACAAATATTAAACATCTGAACTAAACATCTGTTAAATAATAATATATAAGGAAGCAAAGAAATATGCTTTGAACATGCCGTTTTGTAAATATGCAGCAGTGTAAAACATGTTTTTGCTTGATTAATATTTTGTTTGTGTGTTTGTTAGTATTAAAAGAAATATTTATTTGCTAGTTTCTCTAACAAAAGTACTATTATTTTAAAGTCATTAAAATCCCCTCTTCATGTCTTCACAAGTATGCAGTATTTGGCAGACAATGCTGATCTGCAGTGGCAGCCACCCTCTCTGGCACAGTTGTGGAGGAAAACTGAACCTGACACTAACAAAGAATTGCAGGAAGCCAACACCTAGTTAATTGCTATAGAGGCATAGGAACTCCATTGGGGTCCCTGGTGCCAGAATGGAGGTACAATGATGTCATTGTGCATGGAGCAATAAATGGATATACACACTACAATTACAGAATACCATGATGCATTGGGATTGATGTACTAAGGCAGGGGCGCCCCCAGGCCGGGTGACACCCAGAGCAGAGACCGGGTGACACTCCGCCGTGACGTCATCGCGCATGCTCGGTCATCTTATTGACGCTTGCCGGTGGCCATCTTGGTGATGGACGCCGGGAGAGAGAGGAGAGGACGTTCACCCGGCGGGATGAGGTATGCCGCCGGGTCCCCTCCTCTCTCCTGACACTGTCGGGCTCTCGATCAATGACCGAGTGCCCGACTTTTCAGAGGGGGGTGACACCAAAATGACTGCCAGTCATTTTCGTGTCACCTCTCCAATGGTGGCACCCAGGTGCGGGGCCGCACCCAGGGCCGGTGCTAGACTATTTTGGGCCCTAGGCAAGACCAGCTATTTGCACCCCCAGCCCTTTCCCACGGTGCAACCCCCAATCCCCCTCCACCCGTGGCTATTGGAACCCCACCTACTGAGCAGAGGAGCGGATCTGGGAGAACAAATTGTCTCTCAGTTCCGCTCCTCTGCTTAGTGGGCAGGTGCAATGGCCAGTCTGCTATTGGCTTTTGCAATTTGAAATAGACAGGGCTTGCTGTGGGGGGTGAGTGGTCGAGGCAGCACCCTAGGCAGGAGTGCACACTAGGCGCCTGCTTACTATGCCTAGTGGCAGCACCGGCCCTGGCCGCACCCCCCTTGTGACACCACTGTACTAAGGGCAAAAAAACTGTTCACTTTGCAAGGGAATTTGCCCTTTGTAAAGAAAGTTTTCCCTTAGCTCAGTGAATGAGGTGAAGCTCTGTGGACTTCCAACATCCAATCATGTGCAAGCAAAAATATTGTTTTTTTTATATTTTCCTTGCACATGATTGGGTTGGTTTCCTTTGCAAAGTGAAATTTCACCACATTCACTAAGCTAAGGGAAACTTCCCTTGCAAAGTGAACAGCCAATTTGTCTTTAGTAAATCAACCCCACAGTGTTTTTGGTTACCGACCACAAGGCCTGGTTTTTGTGCCATCACAGTGAAATGGTTAAGGGATGTCATTAACGGCCATT